CGGGGAGCCCCAGTCCAGTCCAGCCACCCCCCCGGAGGCCTCCGTGAAGGAGCTGGGGGGACGGATCCGGAGCGGGCGGCGAGGGGGCGTGCCCCCACTTAATTCATTAAAATGTGTCGGAGAGCGTGGGAAAGACGGGAGCTTTTCTTCCCAGCGCAGAGCCCCAGCAAAAGGCCGGAGCGCGGGAGCGGGGGGGGAAGCGCGCGCGAGCTCACGCGGCCTCGGCGCGCCGCGAGCCGCCAGGAAGCACCGAGGCCGCGCCGGGGAGGCCGCGCCGGGGAAGCCTCCTCGCCCGGGGCCGCGGACGTGTCCCGCTGGTCTCCCCAGCAAGGGCAGCGTCTCCTGCAAACCAGCCCCCAAAACGCACCCGCGTCGGGCTGTGGCCCCCGCTCGCAGAAACGCCCCCACGCCAGAAACTGAGGTTTGCAAAAAGAGACCCGGCACTGGCACGCGGGGGCAGCGAGGGCCCGCGCAGCTCCCCCTTGCCCCTGCGGCTGGCGGGAGAGCCACGGCGAGCAAGCCCGGGCAAGCAAATGTGCTGGGGGAGCTGCTGCACCCCGGGGAGCAGAGAGCCCTGGGGACAAAGAGGGGCCTTGGGCATCTCCATCGGCCTGTGCTCCTTCTGGGGGTGCCCGGGGAGGAGCATCCGCACGCGGGACCCCCGTGCTGCAGGTCCCCACAAAGGTTTTTGGAAGCAGCCCATGTGGATTCGGCTGTCACGCTGTGGCTTGGCTTCTCGCCCGCTGCATCGCTGCAGTGCCCCGTCTTATCGGCCTTATCAGTCTCACACAGCGGAGGGTCTTATCCTGCTGGAAGCCCTTCAGCTCCTCTGATGTCCAGGCTCTGCTTCCAGCCTCCATGTCCAACAGCAGGGAAATGCTGTTCAGGCACAAGGCCACTAGATTGGACACACTGCGGATGGGGAGATGGTCCCGCTTTTGGCGGCTGTCTGGGCACTCCAGCTGTGCTCGCTCCCTGGCCTGGTGGGCCACCCCTTGGGTCTGCCCCGCACAACGTGCCCCCTGCAAACGGCACGTCTGAACCGGGCCACCTCGCTGAACTTCAGCCCCACACTGTCCCCAAGGGCAGTGCCTGACCCCCACGATTTTTCCTTTGTGGTGGCCACAGGGATCTGAGCACGTCAGGCCGCACCGCTTGGCTCTGCAAACTCCATGTGGCCTCTGGGGCTTTGGTGAGCACTCCATGGAAGTGTCCTGGGGCCAAGACAAGGCTTTGGGGGCTGTGACATGGCCGTAACTCCCAGCAGGACACACGCAGCAATGTGTCTGGTAAACGCATAGAAGATCGTTTGCCCGAAAGTCATGCCCCCAGTTTGGAAGGCTTGAAGAGAGCCACCGCACTGTGCCCCAAGCAGGGGACAGGTGACCTGGACCCTCCTCCTCCCCCGACTTTCCATCTGCAACAGGGACTGACCAGTAGTTCAAGCCACAAAGTCACATCAAGGAAAGCTAAGCTGATTTTTTTTTTTTTAGCTGCTCAAATATGCAGCAAGGTTTCCGATCCAGATTACACAAGGAAGGAAGTTTGCTTGGAAGGGGATGGGGATAAGGTGGGGGAGAAGGGAGGGAAGCACATTCCTGGCTGATGAGGAACAATGTTGATATATTCATTTGTAAACTAAAGCTGGCCTGAACTGCAAACACCTTGTCCCCATCAAACTCTGAAGGATATGCAAGAAATACACAAGGCGAGGAGAGGAACTCGGCCGATATCTGATGCAGCATGTTATTTCTCAGGGCTTTGTGGTTCAGGTCATTCCCCCGGCACTGCACAGCCTCGGCCTTAGGCAACGTCCAGGACCAAAGTGCTGCCTCAGGGCTGCCAGGGCTGGTTTTCAGCACGATTGGAGGCAGCTGGTGACTTTTACAGGGCTCAGAAATCCTCTCTGCTCACCTCTGTGCTGCATTTTGTGGGCATGCTGGTGCGCTAGCCCAAAAAAGACTTAGCAAGTGCTCTGAGAGAGCAGGACATTTCAGCAGCAGCAGGA